AGGTGTCTTTATGTTTAAAACTCCAGCTGTCAGCAACTAGTGGCAGCAGTAGTTAGATACTCTTTGGCTCACAGGTTCCTGCTTTGTTTGGTGTTCTCTTCTACATGTGCCTCATATTTACAGCTTCTTTCCCCTGTTCTGTTTTCTCTCCCTCTTATCTATTCTATCTCCTCCCACGGGGGAGTCAGCAAAATCTCATCACAGTGATTTTTAGGGAGGGTGGGGGGAGAGAGAGGATGGATATCGGGTGGGTTCCGCCTCATCGTGCCAGTCGGATGCGGGGCTCGCGGGGTGATGTTGCCAACAGGAGGTGGGCATGGGGTGCCAGGCACAGGCTCCTACTGAGACACATGCTTAATTAGCATCCGAGATGGATGGAGGGAGGAAGAAAAGCATGGATGGATGGCAATACAGGAGGCTAATTATGCAGTTTGAAAAGAGACGGCGGAGTAAAGCGTCTTGGAAAAGGCGAATCTTAGCATCTCAGTCAGAGAATGAAAGCGCTGCTCAGGCATTGTGTCAAAGCACTTGGACTCTCATTTGAGGCTTATTGTATATATGAACATCACAAATTTCCAGCACAGCCAAAAGTGCTTCAAGAAATTCATTTCCTGAGCTCTGGCAATGCTTTCTGATGAATGCGACAGCTGCGCTGCTAGAGCTGAGTGGTGTGTGTTTTTCAATGCGTATCATCTGGCACTGTCAAGGCAAAGCTTTCTAATTTGGAAAAATGGAAAAGTGGCATTCTGCTCATTCACACTCGCGCACGTGCCAACCATTCTGTCATTGCGAGCGTTTGTCAACTGGCGAACTGCGGCACGTGCGATGACTCGACACAATTATAGACTTTATATCCTCTGTTATGTTTAAGCTCGTTTGCTTTCCCACGATGAGAGAGTATAAAAAGCAGTCTCTGGATATTCTTATTGTAAGGTTTTAGTGCAAACTACACACAAATAAATGCAAATGAACACAGAGGAAGTGCAAGCAAGATTAAAAGGGGGGCAGATTCTGCTCATTTACTACCTTCATGTTTTTTTCCATGGCCTTCATTACAGTAGCTTTGCATGATTCATGGTTAAAACTAATCTCCCTTCTTCTGGGCCTCATACTTCATCACCTTGGTTATAACAGCTTTCCTCCGATTGGCTGCCCCTCAGAAGGTTTAAACTGCAGGTGGGTGGAGCTTCTGTGTGGGCAGTTACTTCTGATTTTTAATCTGAGCACCCACTATTGCACTAACAGTGTAAATATGACAGAAAATAAGGTAAAGCATTATTAGGTCCCCCTTTAGTTTCACCATATGGCACTACTCCCTGTCATTGGTGTGCATGTGCAGAATCTGGCTTTCTTTCAGCTACCGCCTGCACATGACATTAACTTTGGCAGTGATAGCTGCACAGGCACAGCAGCAGCCATGCTGTACATACACACAGTGTTTTATATGAAGACGTCAGGTTCATCACCATGATGCTTGAGGAAAAGTGCATTTGATCCCTCTCCACCTTTCTGAAGTTCTTTTGCTCACTGACCGCCTCCTCAGAAGTCTGACTGCTGCATTTCCCCTCTTAACCGAGATGAATTTCATATTGCTGTTTTACCAGTTGCCATGGTGAGACCGAGACTTGTTTCGTGTGTTTGTTTACTTGCATGTATGTGTCTGTGTACACCACAGCAGTATTTCAAGGCACATCATCTGGCACTAAAGCCGGCTGTCTAATTTAGGGGGAAATGGGCTTCCGTCTGAAAAGCATCCATATGACAGGCATTCATAATGTGTGTCTGGTGTGTTTGCGTGTGTGTGTGTGTGTTTGTGTGTGTGTGTTTGTGAGTTAATAAAGGGATCATCCAGACCTTTGGCTGCAGGCTATTATGTTAATACAATCAATGGACAAAGAATTTCACTCATTTTATCTAAACACACATTTCCTCCTCTCCTCATCATTCTCTTGCTTCTCCTCCTCCTCTTCCCCTTTTTTTTGTCTGTTCACAGTCAGAAGATGTATTACGGCTTGTCCAACACACAGACACACACAGAAGGTCTTCCACCTGAGTCCCAGATTCTTGCTGCTGCTAATGCCCCCTTTACCTCACATTATTATGCATCTCTTTGCATAATGGCCCCTTCTCTCGCGCACACGCTGCCATCCAAAGATGGAGAGTTCACTTTCTGACATTATATTAAAACTGCACACAGACACACACGCGCACACAGCCCTCATGACTAGCACAATATTAGCATACTATATACACACACAGGCACAAAGCCACTTCAGCGAGTCAAGTAGCAGCCTTGCCCTAGCCATAGCTCTGATGTGCTTCACTTCCTGGCTCCCATTCAGAGGCATTAGAGCTCTCTACATTACAGAGACATGCTAATGATATCTGGTAATGCGCCACTGCAGCATTGACATGCAGAATGAGTTTGAACTCATACATACATGCAAAACAGAGCGATAGACTGGTCTTGCATGAAGTCATGCGGACTCTTTTCATAGTGTGTCTGTGGTTTTAAATGCTGTGTACGTTTGCTGGCTTGCATCGTTTTGATAGCCTGGATCAAACGTACGGCTGTTTGCCTTTTTCAGATTTCCGCGTGAGCATCTGTCAAATTCACGATTAGCTTGTTTATGTCAGTTATTGTACATATGGTTGTTTTTGTGTGTTTGACCAGCTTTCTAGCGCGTGCGTGTTGTGCTGCAGTGGTGGATGGAACGTTTGACCATTGAAATGTCGATTGGGTAAACAGCCTGTGTTTGTATGTGAAAACTGAGTCCAGAATGCAGATAATTGAAATTGTGTGCTCTCCCCATGTCTCTGCCTCCACACTCCTCCCTCCTCTCGTGCCCTCAGGGGCGGCTTGTTTAAAACCATTTGTATTGTCGCGATCTTGGAGCACGAGCACTTGTATGCAGCTAAATTTGATGGTAAACGTTAGACTTAAGCTCCAATTAAGTTGGATGATGGTGTTTATGGTGCAATCACTGTGCTAAAACACCGATGCATCTCAAATTCCCCTCATTTGTACAAATCCTTAATAAAATCCAAAAATGTCTTGGATCAGGGGTGTCAAACATAAGGTCTGGGGGCTAGAATCAGCCCGCCAAAGACTCCAATCTGTCCCACTTGATGTCTTAGGCAGAGGGGCATAGATTTTAGACTTTTAACTTGTATATTCATGAGTTTTAGACCTTTTCCTGCCATTAAAGACCTCCTCATTAATAGTACACCAAAGTAAATAAATAATAGATAAACAATGAGATGACAGAAATACAGATATACTTGAGATATATGTTTTTATGGTGATTCCAAAGCATAAATTTTAATTATTACAGGACCGTCTGAGCCATTTTCTGTAATTTTACAAACCTGTTACTTACTTTTTAGTCCCAACATGTCACGCTAACAGATTTCTTCCATGTACTCCAGCAGTGTTTCAATATCATGTACAAAAACTGACACTGCTACATTTTTAAATGCTTTTGTCCAGCACGAGTCAATTTCCAGCTTCCAGTACAAAGGATGAAATGGTGAATATGATTAAAAAATAAGAGCTTCTTAGCACACCTCCTTATTATTATTATTATTATTATTATTATTATTATTATTAATATATCCTTTAGTTAAACATGTAGCCTCATTGAGATCAAGGTCTTTCTTTCCAGAGAGACCTCAACCAAAAGAAACATGCAAGGACTGAAACAGCTACATAATAAAAGGCCACATTTTACATGATCACACATTCAGAAAGAAATCTACGAGAGTCGTTGCAGATGGACAAAAATCTAATATTGGGAGCAGAGTGCACCGTGCAGTGACCTGCAAGTCTGTATTGTGGTCAGGAACATAAGAAAATGAACATAGCATGTTTATTTTTTTTTAATTGGCTCTCATGCCCTGTATGGAAATATCTGTATTCATCATGGGTTTTCTACATTTATTCACATTTCCCTTCCTCTGTAAGTAATTACAAAGAGCAGGCGATAACCTGTTATCCAGGAAAACAACGGAGAGACTTGAAGAAAGAAAGGGGGGGAAGAAATTTAGCTGATTGTTTTTCTGCTGCGGTGTTTCAGTGAGGATGAAAAGTTGACCTGAAAATGCAGGGCTGTGTACCAATCCATGTGGAAACTGTCTTTGCCAATTTATCCGCCTAAGCATGTGGACGGCTTTAATCATTCGGTCACTTCCTGGTGATGGCCTCTCTGATGAGAAACACATCAACCGTCTTTTCAAATCATACTTTAAATTTCTTCTTCTTTTTTTTCTTTACACGTGGCTGGCATGTTTGAAAGACCTGTACACACACACACGCACACGCACATTTATCAAAGGGGTACAGCATCCACTTGGAGGCGAGTGTTTATGTTACCACATGTGGGGCATTCCACGACTCCTCGCTCTCTAATTTTTGTTTATCCTGAAACCTTAAGGCTGCACACGAAAGCACGTGTGCTTTGAATGCTTAATGTACATCAACAGAGTTAAATTACCACCGGACTACTGAAATATTACTGAGGTTAAACATGTAGCCTAAGGACATGTGTGGTCTGCACTGCAGGGTTTAGCTCCTTAAATAGGCCTAAAACTTTATTTATTCTTTCAGGTGACTTCCATCGAGGGCGTTGTGGGTTCGGTGTTTGGGCCATTTTGATTTGTTTACTTACTTTGCTCGTCCTGTGTTTCCTCGCAGATGGCACCCAGAGGACCCGACTCTCGCCCTGACCACCAGTATGAAGAAATAGACCGACAGTACCTCACACAGCCCAGGTGAGACAGCTGTGTGTGTGTGTGCCTGTTTTATTCTTCAGAGCAGGAAATGAAGGGCTAACTTTTTGCCACTCCCTCCCTTTGTGTCTCCCCCACTCTCACAAGCGCACACTCACACAGAGCGCAGCACAGACTAATCCTCTTTGGAGCTTATAATTAAATCTGGAGTGTTTGCCTTGGGAGTGTCTACTCATCCCAGGAATAGGACTGATCAGCTCTCCAGAGAGCAGGGCACAGGCAGAAGGATGTCTCTCCCACAGACACACACAATCGTGGAGGATGGTTTGCTCCCATGCAGGATGTATAACCTCTAGTGTGGGTTTAATGGAATTGCACATTCCTCCTGTTTGCTTAACCGTGCTCTTGTCAAGCTATATAGCACATATACATTTGCCCAACCACGCCAGAATATTCACTGTCTTATGCGTGTAAGCGTGTGTATGCTCATGCTGAGCAAACGCCATTTTCGTGATGTTCGCGGCCCGGCAGCTAAGTGGAGCGTGGAGTGGCACTGCGCATGGAAAGCGAGAGGAGGAGAATGAGGAAAAGAGGGGACACCGGGATGGAGAGCAGGAGAGTGAGAAAAAGAGAACAGTCATTTCACGGGTTATTGCCCCTCCTGATATGACAGGCACCAGGGAGCGCAGACATCAGCACCAGCTCTGGGGGTACGAGGCGCACTGAGAATCTGAGAGAGAGAAAGCAAAGGAGAAAGAAGGACATAACCAAGCTGCGCAGGGATAGAGAGATAATCCAGCTGTAACTAGGGGGACAAACCCAAATGGAGGCAGGTTGAAGGAGATTTGAATGACCTTTGATAGACCAAAGCTTCCCTTTTATTGCACTGTGATAATCCATCGGTCAGGTTGGCAAGTAAAAGTAAAACAACTTTAAGTCATTTCAGCATCTTGGATGTGTAGATTTGAATCTCCTTGGATTTGGAGTTTCTTGTTTGGCAACACTAGAAATTTGAAGATGCTTTATTGGGAACTTGATTTTATCGGGAAAGCGTGAACGCTGTCCCAGCCAAGGATGAAATATTCCAACAATTACTGTTTCGCAGCACATGATAGTGTTAAAAGTCTAACTCTCAGCTCATAGGTGGATAAATAGATGGATAGATATCATAGACTAAAACTATTCTGGGAGATCTTGAGTCATTCCTGAGTCACTCGGAAGTTCAAAATAATACTCGGGCAGGGAAAGCATCAGTTTATATGCCGGGATGTGGAAAATGGTGGAATGATCTCCGGCACCAGAGAAGTGGAGATGCAATAGTGAATTGCTTCCAGCAATATTGCTAGCACAACTTCAGCTGTTCGCAAGCAGAGACAGCATGCTAACGCTAAGCTAGCTCAGAACCCAGAGTGATGATAAAGCTGAGTGCATGCTGACCCCAGCCCAGCAGCCAGAGCCTGAACTTCACAAGGTAACAGAAGCAGTGATGAGCAGTCTCGCTTGTAGCTTTATAGCCTCCATCTCTGTCTGCTCTACAGTAGTCGCTGTGATGATGTAATATGGCCTCAGGTTTATATTGTCAACTGGTAATTATGAGACAATGGGTTTCAGGTTGTTTTCACAGAGTAACACGAAAATAAAGTAACAAGTACTGTAACACATTACGTTTTCTGGCGAGTAATTAGTGAACATACTGGAGAAATGTGTCATACCTTACTCTCTCTTTTTTTTTTTGCCAACACTGACCTTAACAAATCAGCAACCACATTTGATTTTAGTTTGACCAATCTCCCACTCAAGACCGCCCCCTTGTGCACATCTGGACTCCTTCCAGCACAGCTGCTATTTTTAGATTGCTTTTTGTGCAATTTCATCATGAACCTCAAACTTTCTCCGAGCCCAAACATCCATTTCTGCATCAACCTGACCTGACTTTGATGTTGCCCCTGTCCTACAGTGAAATTCGAGATAAATGGCCATTGTTTTGACGCTGTGGATGGGGCCCAGCAGACGTCACAAACACACAAGTCCCTGGATCAGAATGAGTTGTCCGAGGAGTGATCTGAAAATAGCTGCAGCACTGCGCAAAGGGATGAACCTACAGAGGGAAACTGGCCATATTTTAATTACACAGATGGGCTGAGTCATTATAAATTGAGTATGTGGGTTTAGATGTTGGTCAGGCAAATCAAGCAATTTAAAGATCTTATGAAGTCTGGGAAATCTTACTATGTAATTATTCTCTATTTTCTGACATTTTTATTAAGGAAAACTTAATTAACCGATGATGAAAATAATCATTTGTACCGCCTTAGTGGTCTCTTGCTCTAAAATGTTTTTAGAGCATATAAATGATAATAACAGATGCTTTATATTAAAGTGGCCTCCATCAGATTCTCTGGCTTTCGTAATTAGACACAAACACAACAAGTGAGGTTCAAATAATGTTCATTACCTCGAGAAATTTCCCTCACTCTTATTTAACTTTCTTCATCTCCTCTTTGAAGTATTTTTGGGCCCAAGACCCATAGGATGTGATCCACTTGAAATGCATATGCTACAGTTAACACGCTTCTGGGGACATTTGAATCAGCAACAGAGCAAAAGAAAAAAAAAAGCCAGAGCAACAAAAGGCAGAGGAGAAGTGCCAGATAGAGTTTGAACACTATTCAGACTCACATGTTTGTGTTTTTGTTTCTGATGTTTCTGTAAAGATAAATCGCAGCTCCTCGGTCCCCAAGAATCCTCTGACTCTCTCTAGCATAAATACCAAGGCGAGAGGAGGAGGGGGGCACAAATATATTCCGGAATGTGCTTTATTTTTTCTTTCCTCCTCCTCCTCCTCCCTCTTCTTCTTCTTCTTCTTCTTTTTTTTCATCGTGAGGGGGAAAAACAGGAGAAAAAGGGAGAGCAGACACAGCAGTGAATTGAATGCATTTTTCAAAGTGGAGCTGAACTTTGTGCAAAATCCCCCCGGGGGCCGCCATTATTGAAAGCCATTTCCTCTCAAAATGAGTGCGGCTCCACCATTGGCCTGGCTCTCATTAGCATACATTTGGCCTGCCTTTGTGTGGAGCCGGCTGGGGCTGCAGCTGGAGGGGTGGGAGGGAAAGAGGTGAGTGTGTGGGTGTGTGTGCACAGAGAGTCCAGGAGATGTATAAAAGCATCTCACAGATGGGTGGATATGGAAAGGAGAGGTAGGAGTTAGGATCGGTGATGTGGAGGCATTAAGGGCTTCAGGTAGAAATTCAAATATTTCGCTTTCAGTCGTCGGTAACAGATTACAGTTTTCCAAATGAAAGCACTTAAGTTTAGAAGATGTTTCTTAATGTTTTTTCCAACTCTTGAATGTTTGTTGGCACTTTGTGGTTATTGTGTTGGGAAAATATGGGGCTTAGTGCTAAGGGCTACTGCATGGCAGCCAAGAAGAGAAGCTGAAGTCTGGCAAAGAGGATTTGGAAAGAGGGCTAGAAATGGCAGCATCGAGAGGTTTGCCCCAGGGGGAGGATAGTGCTGCTTTTGGCTCTTACCGCCCTCTCCACCGGCCATTAACACGGGGTGCAGCTCGACCTCCAGATTCCCCCCCCCCCGTGCTTTGGGAGGCACACACACACGAATGCCCAACACACACGCGGCCATATGGAGAATATTAACATCATTACCAATTCAAAGCAGCGGGTCACAGGCGCGACGACCCAGCCCCGGGTTATCCAATCAGAGTGCCTTCGTGACCCGTTTCCCCAAGGTGATTGGATTAGGTTGCCAGGTTGGCGTAGCAACGTTTATCTCCAGGGCTGATAATTGGCTGATTAATGTGCAGCCGATGGCCAGAGAGTCAAGAGAGCACAGGGCTTCAGTCAGGAACCACAGTGAAGCTTCTCTCACATGTGAACAATGGAAATTATCCACTGAGAAGGACACAGAGGTTGGGCAGTATGTAAAAACTGTCCATCTGGCCACAGTAATCCCCCAACAGTGTATTTGTGGAGGTGTGTTTGCCTCCCTTCCCTCACCAAAGGAAAACCAATAAAGGGCACCTCGTTGTCTCTTAAATGATCAAACAGGTGAGGGTAACATATGCTGCAAAATGGTCAGGGAACAACCTGTAACATGTGGTAGAGCTGAGCAGAAACTAGCAACAGTTGGACATAAGAATGTAGACATTTGTTCTACTCTTCCTAGTAAGTGTAGGAGGAAGACGAAATTAAACGACCAAATTCAAACAACATTCACCGGTGTGAGACATGTTGGACTCATGAAGACCTCGAGCAAGTTCATCTCTCTGCACCTGTGTTTGCACTTAGCCGTTCTAAGGATGTCCTCATGCTTGAATACTTGACAAGTGACTGAATCCTGTATGCTCTTAACAAGCACTCTCTGCTCCTCCTTAAAAACCAGGGGCCAACTTCTTGATTGTCCTTAGCATGCTGAGTATCCGCTGCTATGTGGGAAAGTGTCCCTTAAGGACTCTCAACTGACCCTCATGAAAAGTGCACATGCTCTGTTCCTGGCTTTACAGCCTCTTGGCTTTCTCCACCATGTTTCAGCACTTTTCACTCCGGTTATGTCCGGTTATTGTTGTTTTTTTTTAACAAAGTACTGCACAAATGTCTTGTGCAAAACTTTAGTTTTTTAAAATTTAATTTTAATTTTAATTTAATTTTTTTAATTGTTTAATTGTTTGTTGAATTATTATGATTAAATTTATTAAGGGAAAATAAGTAATTCAAACCTACAGGTGGCCTTGTGTGAAAAAGTAATTTCCCCCTAGAACTAATGACTTGTTGGGCCGCCCTTGGTAGCGACAACCGTATTCAAGCGATTGTGATAGCTGGCAATGAGTCTTTCACATCACTGTAGAGGAATGCTGGCCCATTCATCTTTACAGAAGTGTTGTAATTCACCCACTGGAGGGTTTTCAGCATTAACAGCCTGTTGAAGGTCATGCCACAGCAGCTTAATCAGATTTAAGACTATAACTCCAAAAAACTGTGTTTTTTATTTTTTGAGTTATTCCGAGGTGGACTTGCTGGTGTGTTTTG